TCCTCCTCTTCCTCCTCCTCCTCCGCCTCCTCCTCCTCTTCCTCCTCCCCTCTCTCCCTCCTCCTCCTCCTCCTCCTCCTCCTTCCTCTCCTTGAGACAGGGTCTCATGGTGTAGCTCTGGCCGTCCTTGAACTCATTACATCGCTCAGGCTTGCCTGGAACTCATAGCAATCCTCCTGCCTTGGGCTTCCAAGTGCTAGGATCATAGATGTGCACCATCATGCCCTGCTAGGCTTCTTTTTCTTATGTATGAAGCTCACTCCCATCTTAGAGACTTTACACTATTTACTCTGCTTTGAATGCCTTCTTATCAGATTTTTGTAGGATTAGGTCCTTCTAGTCATTTCTGTCTCATTTCATATGTCACTTTCTCAAACAGCTTTCTCCAACTGTTAAATATAAAGTAGCTATTTTGTTCCTCTCATAATCTCACGGTTAGCCATTGTATTATCTCCATAGTACTTAGTATTTGCTAAGACTTGACTATGGTTTGTCCTCTCCAGAACTCATGTTGAGATTTAATCCCTATTATGAGATAAGGCTTCTCATAATAGGGCTCTGCTCTAATGAAGTCATGAGAGTAATGGGTTACCTCAAGAGTGGATGTGTTGTAAAAGCCAATTTGGCTCATCACTTGAGCTCTCTCAGTCCCTATGCCTGTGATATCTCTGGATTCTACCAGCAAAAGGGCCTAGACCAGAAATATGACCCAAAATAAGCCTCCTTTCTCCCTTTCTACTTCCCTTCTGCCTCCCTGATTTTCTTTCTTCTACTCCCTCCTTCCTTCCTTCTTTCCTACTTTTCTTTTTGCGCTACTAGAGATTGAACCCAGACCCTTCAAACTCAACTATGTCCCCAGCCCTTTTGAAAACTTTTCAGACAGAATCTTGCTAAGTCACTAAATTGCCCAGGCTGGGCATGATCTTGGGATCCTCCTGCCTCAATCTCCCAGAGTACTGAGCTGACAGGAGTGGCCACCACACCTGGTTTTTTAAAATTAAAACAAAACAAAACTTACCCAGCCTGTAGTATTACTTTGTCAGCAACAGAAAATAGACTGAGATTATCTGAATGATCTTGTTTGTTTACTTGATTATTGTTTGTCCTGCTAGTTCCATGATAATAGAAACTTCCTTAGATCTTGTTCTTCACTATCTCTAGCCTCTAGAACAGGGCTCAGATCGTGCTGCTCAATAACTATTGTATGCATGGATGAATGTGATGGGAGAAGGACTTGGAAAGGTCTATTCCCAAATTGTGCTATGCAGCATAGGGGCCTGAGATAGTGTCTCAAACAGGGCTGATTTTAAGTACAGTTTACAAATTATAAGGATGTGTGTGTAACTGAACCTTTAATGAATGAGATTTGTGGGGTGGGACATAATTATAAGACCATTTTCTTGTTCTTTTCTTTCTTTTTTTTTTTCTTATACAGGGTCTCACTATGTAGTTCAGACTTGTAATGCAGTATTGGGGATCAAACTCAGGACCTTGTGCTTGCCAGGCAGGTGCTTATGCCACCAACCTATCTCCCCAGTCCTACTTTTTTTTGACAGAGTCTTGCTGTGTAACTCAGGCTGGCCCTGAACTCACTGTGTAGCCCAGCCTGGCCTTAAAACTGATAGAAATCCTCCTGACTCAGCCTCCCAAGTTCTGGGATCACAGGTGTGCACCACCATGCCCAGCTATTACATTTTATATTATCTCTTTGAATCTGTTCTATGAGACTATTCTTCATGAATTTTCTACTTTTTTTAAAAGGTGATGTTACAGTTTATATCTAGGGGTCCCTTCATGAGCTCATAGGAGGGACTTTGGAAGGCAATTGAATTATGGGGGTGATACAGCTGACTTGCTGTTAGGAGGTGAGGTTTGGCTGGAAGATGCAGGCCTCTGGAGGCAGGGCCTGGAAGGGTCCATCTCCCTTCCTCACTCTCCCTCTCTCTGCTTCCTGGCCACATAGTGTGAGTGGCTTTTCCTCCCCTCTTCCCCTCTTGCATGCTCTCCTGCCTTGGAACCAGAGGTCTGTGGACTGAAAATGTGAATCAAAATAAACCTCTTCTCCTTTAAATAATGGGTGTCAGGTATTATGTTCCAGTAACGAAGGAGTGACTAAGACAGGAAGCAACCAGCAACCATCACTTTAGCTTTCATCTTAGTAGTTAAGAGGATTTGATGAAATAGTATTTTATTTATTTTTTTTTAAATTATTTATTTATTTATTTTAACATTTATTTAGTGTGTGTGTGTGTGTGTGTGGCCAGCTCAGCCCACCAGGGGGCGCGGCTTGCTGGCATGTGGTGCTGGGGGATCGAACCGCGGTCCCTGTGCTTTGCCAAGCTTGTTCCAAGTAGGTGCTTTAGACCACTGAGCCATCTCTCCAGCCCTGAAATAGTATTTTAAAACTTCGAACTTTCTAATTACTGTTTTTCCTTGTCAGTCAATGGTATTGCAGGTGTTCACTGGGAAAAGAGAGTAGAGCTTAGTAGGTAGCAGTTTTCCCACCTTTCTCTCCTTTCTCAGTTTGTTAACCCTCCTTTCTCTAAGATTTGAAGAGGGAGGAGAGATGAAGAAAGTTCTAGATTAATACTGTCAAAAACTAATTTTAGTTCTTTTTTAAATTTAATACAGGGTCTACAGGGTCTCACTACATAGATCTGACTTGTAGTGATCCGCCTGTGTTCAGCCTCCCAAGAGCTGGGATCACAGGTGCACACCACTACCCCCAGTCTCAAACGCCATCTCAGTGTGCCCTGGGGGCGAAGCCAGCACAGCATGCCAGGGCGCTCCACTCTGCCTCAGCAGGCACTTTAGTCTACTGAGCTCTCTGGCTGGCCCTTTGATTTTAGTTCTTGCAAGTATGTAAAGCTGAGTCTTTTTTAAAGGAACCTATTGCAGATCTTCTGAGATTCCCTCCCCTTTGATGGCAGTATCTTTTCTATCTCTAGTTACTTTAATGAATATGAATTCAACTTCTATAGTCACATAGTCTTTAAAAATCTCTAGGTTTTAAAAATCAACTTTATTAATATGTATTTTACATAAAGTGAAATGCACAAATCCTAAATGTATAGATTGGTCATATTTGCCCCATGTATGTGCATGTATGTATCTTCAGAATCAAGATGAATAAAATTTACCTCCTGCCCCTTCTATCTCGCTCTAAGTCCCAAGCACCCAATGGTATATCTTGTTTCTTTCTGCCAAGACTCCCTCCAACTGTCAGATGATCTCTCTGACAAGATAGAGACTCACTTGGCTCTCTATCTTTTCTGGCTCAGACCTGCTCTAGGGGAGCACTCGTGCACCCTTGTCCTGAAAACCATGGGCGCATAGGTCAGTCGCATCACAGCCACTCCATCCTCTGCCACATAATGTGTAGCTCATTATGCTCTTGCAGTTTGGATGTTTTAGGGATAGTGAAGTGTCAGTATTCTGTATCCCCTGAATGTGTCAGTCAGATCACTCTCTCCAAGTAGTTTCTTTAAAGCCTTGGGCCCTTTCCCAAGGTGGGCAAGCTTGGTTTTCATGCTCTTCCTTTCCCATTTGGAGCGATGGAATACGCAAATGTTGGGAAGTGGAAAGTGCTCTGGTACAAAGGAGATGCACTCAGGAGGGGTTTGTGTTGTCAGTGAAAGCTCCTGGAAAAAGCAATCCAAGCGGAAAGTTAAGAGCAGATAGGTACTCGCAGACAAAAGAAGGACAGAAGTACATTTAAGAAGGGAAAGGAGCAAGAGCCAAGAAATAAGAGGCTTCTGAAGATAATGGAAATTTTGGGGAACTGAAATTGTTTGGGATGGCAAGAACCAGATTATGTACAACAGAAAATGGTCCATGGAGCTGGGAGATGGGCCACCCCAGAGTAGTGAAACCTTGAGAGGATACTGAACTAGAAGATGACAGGATCTGATTTGTAGTTTTGGAAGGTGGTGTTAATTGGACAGAAGCAGGACTGGGTGCTGGGATATCAGAGAGTTAACTGTTGCTATAAATGAATATAGTGGGATTAAGGGAGAATATTGAAGACACTTCTGATTCAGAGTATAAGGAACATGGTAACTGAATGGTTTGGATATTAAATGATCGGCAAAGATTGGGTGGGTTGAGCTTATGTTTCCAGAGGCTCAGTTAAAGTGAAGGATCTTAGAATCAGGTTATTTTTTTCTTTTGTTTTGTTTTGTTTTTTGGCAGAACTGGGGATTGAACTCAGGCCCTTGCGCTTGCCAGGGAAGTACTTATTCTACTGAGCCATCTCCCCGGCCCCCTTAGAATCAGTTTAATAAATGGATGTGGACTAGAAATATGGGTTAGAGATAGATTCAAGAATCTTCTTTCTGGCCGGGGAGATGGCTCAGTAGGATAAGCGCTTGACTGGCAAACGCAAGGATCTGAGTTCAATTCCCGGTTCCGCCAAAAAAAAAAAAAAAAAGAATCTTCTTTCTGTTAGTAAAGGAAGTTATAAATGAGTTTGGATGAAGTCACTCCGGAAGTGTACAGGTAATTTGAGCAGGGAACCTAGACTGAGTTTTAGGAATTGGTATTAAAGGTATGCAAAAAGGACAAATCAGATAATTGAAAGACGGAATCAGACTGTAGTCAAGATAGAGTTTGGCAAGAGAGAGCAGAAAAGCAGAGTGAAGTTGAAAAAGGAGAGAAGGTGGGAGGGGATCAAGGTCTGTGGAGCAATAATGCTGCTTAGCACATACTGTTGCCGCCCGGCCCCTAGAGACCATACAAATAGCTCCACTCCAAAATATGTAATTTATTTCCCCATAAACATCCTAGGAATAATTTTAGGTATACAATTTATCAAAATAATTTTATGACATGAAGACAAAGGCTCACCAATTGTGGCTTACATCCTTTCAAGAAAAGATTTTTTTAAAAAAAATCTGCATTATTTCCCTCTCAGTTCTGAAGCCTGAACAAGAGGGAAGGGGAGGAGGGGAAATTTTTGAGTTGTCCTGTCCAGGTGGGAACTGCCTCCCTTCCTCCTCCCCCTTTCTGTCCCTTTCTTCCTTCTTTTTTCTCTTCCTTCCTTTCTCCTTCCCTCCCTCCCTCCCTCCCTCCCTCCCTCCCTCCCTCCAGAAACTCCACCTTCTGAAGGCCAACTCTTCACAGTTGCTTCCACAGTTATTACCAAGGACTCGCAAACTGCTCATTCAGAGCTCCCAGATAAACCTGCGCAAGGAGGCTGGGTGGAAGTATGTTCATGTGGCCCTGGGCAGGTTATGGTTGCTATGGGTATAGGAGGCAGGGACCAAAGTAAGGTTTGTTTTTTTTGGTACCAGTAAACAAATTCAGGACCAAAGTAAGATTCTTATACCATATCTTCTTTTTCTTTCCCACACTGTCTCTCTCCACCCCATATTTCCACATTTTCTTGTCTGGATTAAAATTTAAAAGTGATGGGAAGAGAGAAGCACGAGGTAGCTTTTTCTTGAAGTTTAGCAACTCTGGTAGTTATCTGGGGGCTTTTTCCTAAGTCCATTTGTTGCTTGTGAGGGCACAGCCTTTTGCAGAATGCCCTGTAGTGATAGTAGAGGAGCAGGCATATGCTGATTTCTAGTCCCCTCTTACTGAATTGCATGACTATAAAAGAGGAAGAGCAATGACTGACTCTTTTGGAGTCTCCCAAAGGACCTCTATTTTTTTAAAGGAAAGCTGTTTTTCTTCTTTTGCCTTCTACTCATTGTCTTGCCAGAAGTGATGAGGGCCCCAAAGCCATTTTGGTGGGAGAAAGCATATGCAGAACGTCGAAGGTTTGAGTGTTTCAATCTGACGTGAATTGGAGGTGGCAGTGGATATTTCCTGTAATGCCAACTTAGGTCCAAAACCTAAATGAGGGGCAAAGTTTTTATCTACAGAGGCAAAGGCAAAGAGGCTCATGAGTTCTATCTGGGTAGCTCCCTTTCTACTCACCTTGTCCACAAAGACAGGGTATACTAGCCGTTTGAGAAATTTGTACCCAATTGCAGGTATTATACAGAGGACTGTGCTGAGGATAATGCTCAGCCACAGCTGTGTCTGGTTCAGTGAGGTCCTGGCCACACCTGTCAATGACACAAGAGAAGAAAGGCTGAAACAGAGTCTAGAGAAGGGGAAGAGAAAAGGGTTAAGAGGTATCAGCTAGAAGTTAGGATACCTCTCCAGTCCAAAAAAGGAAGTATTGATCTGGAGACCTGGTAATCTCCTGAGTAACATAAATTCCAAGGACTTACAATTAATTAGGTCCTTCATGTAGCCAAAGTCACTGTGAATTCACATGGCTTTGTTGTCCTCTAAAAGCAGGGCAGGGCAGGGCAGGAGCAGGGTACGGGAGGTTATGTGGGACTCTTGGTGCATTGGCTTGGACACAAAACATGGGATAGAAGGCTTTGGAGAAAAAATGAGATAGTAGCCTATCTGATAAAAGGTAGAAGCCAAGTACATTTTCATAGCTACTCTGTATTCTGTTGACATCTGAGATGAGAGAAATTGGCATAGGAGACACTAAGTATACTACAACATAAAGGTTTTGAACTAGAATGATGAAACCCAGATTGAGTCATTAAATTAAAAATAAAAAAGCAACTCAGGTCTCTCCAATCTCTAATATGGTGCTAATAATTCCTGCTCTAGTTACTTTATAGGATGCTTATAAAAACATTTGAAAAAAAATCTTGGAAACAGGTTAAAATATTTCCCTAGCTAGATTTTGAGTCCCTTTAGGACAGAAATCCTCTTTCATATCTCCCTACACAGAGCCTAGCACATAATAATGACTTTTCAGTAAAAATGTATTAAATAAATAGACATGGCTGGTTTACCACCACTCCACAATCCGCCAGGCAGAGCCTTACCTAGGAAGTGGAAGATGCTGGGGAACATTACACACAAGCCATCACTGTACAGGAAGAATAGCATGCAAAAGTAGAAACCCAGGCTACCCCAGATGAAGAGGTGGCTCATCAATGTCCAGTAGGTCGTCTTCAGGGCAATCTGAAAAGCACTAGTTAATGTGTAATACTCTGTAACCTCAAACTTATCACTTACTACTTTTTTCTTTTTCTTTTTCTTTCTTTTTTTTTTTTTTTTGGCAGTACTGGGGATTGAACCCAGGGCTTTTTCACTGAGCTACATCCCCACCCCCTTTTTATGTTTTATTTTGAGACATAGCCTCATAAGTTGCTTAGGCTGGGCTAGAATTTGTGATCCTTCTACCTCAGCCTCTCAGACGCTAGGATTACAAACCATGTGTCCTCACTCCTGGATACTTTTCCATTTCTGCAGTGGTGGATTCTCTCTCCCCTGTCTCCCACCTTTCTTTCCTATCTAGTTAGGCTCTGTACCCAACCCCCTTAATCCCACTGCCACTGGCCACACCTGCATTGTGACCACACACATCAAGGAGGTCTGTACTATCAAGGAAAAAGTCTGAAAGTCAGAGATGTCCTTCCCATCATCGCGCTCCGAGTTGTGGATGGTCCCCATGGAGACAAAGAACAACACAAAGGAACTGTAGATCCCATATATTAAGCAATTCACAAATTTCTTCTTATTGAAAAAGAGGTTTTGCTGGCCTGCTTCATACAGCTCTGGAAAACTTAGGCTCCATGTGTCATTCATATCCTGGAAGCACAGAAAGTAAGGCTCAGGGTCTCTCTATAGAAGGTCCCATCTCCATCAGAGGAGGTTCCTGCTTTCACTGAGTCTGATGCCAGGCTGCTTAGGGAGCTTCCTCATGGAATAATTGAGAGGCGAGACCCAAGAACAGAGCAGTGACCATAGACCCTTCCTAAAGTCCTCTCTAGAGAAGGATCTAGGTAGTAGAAGAAAGCTTAGAGAAGGTCAGAATGGTGGAAAGCACTTGGAGGCAGCTAGGCTTGGGGTGTTGACAAATGGGGCGGTTTGGGTTGGGGGTAGCTGGAAGGAAGGACTGGAGCTTGGCATGAAGAGACACTAGGACATGAGTTTTCAGCTCTAAGTGTTCCTTTAATTAAATATTCTTTGTGTCAAAATCCAGTTGAAGTGGAGAGGAAGGCCAGTGGGGACAAGTTTAGTCCCTTCAAAGTATCCACATTCTGTGATGTTTCTCCTATTACTATAGTGTGTGGTGAACTCAGAGGGGAAGGATTCTCCATGTGGACGATATTGGCATATCTCCCTCTCCTAAATATGACACTGAGGATAACAAACCCTGGGTACAGCTTCAGTGATAGAACCCTAGAATCAGACCACTGAACCAGGATAGTACTGCTAAGTAACATAGTCTTTGCTCTTCCAAGGTTGGCAGCTAATTCATGAAGAATTTCCTATAGAGTTTCTACCCTGATGGAAACAGGGAACCATGGTTCCACAATGTCCTAGGGTGGCTCCTTTTCTATTGCATTGCCTAGGAATAAAAGCTTGGTATAGGGATCCTAACACCTAGAGACTTTCTGATAGGGAGAGATGAGATCTCCTGTGTTGGCACTCAGTGACCTAAGTCATTAGATCCATACTTGCACGAGGGCCTTGCAGTCTCTTATCTAGGCCTTTCTGCACTGGTTTATCTCATTATCATTATAAGCCTCTGAATGGGCCTCTCTTTTCTTAAAGTGCTTTGCTTTACTGAGTCCTGCTCCAATAACCTTATTTCCTTTAATTACTTTCATACACAATTTATATATAGTCAAATTTTTCTTTCTCTACAAAGATAAAATTGAGACAGTAAAACAAAATGGATTTATAAAACCGATGTTTTTTTTTGGCGGGCGGGCTGTACTGGGGATTGAACCCAAGGCCTTCACAGTGACCTATATGCCCTTTCTATG